GGCAAGTTTTGAAATGAAAGCCCTGTACATTAGGGTTGCCAGACCTCCTATTTTCAATATGATGGCGTTTCCGAATGGTAGATTCAGTGCGCACTGAGTGTATTTGCATCCTTTTAATCGACCTGTAGAAGAAAAAGACAGAAATAGAAAAAATTGCACTAGATCTACCAATCGGAAACGTCATGAGACTCATATATTTTAACTGTTTCTCATATCTCATATTGGCATGTTTAATATGAGACTATTTCTCATATATTTTCATCAAAAAGTAAACAAAACAATAAACCAATTCTTAATTTGCGTTTTAAGCTTACACTGCCCCAGTAGCACACAATGTTGGTCCCATGTTGCGGATACATTAGACCAATATTGTATGTTGGCCCAATATTGGCATTTTCCAGCCAACATTGGACATTTATTGGCAATACAACTTCTTTCATCATTAAACTAATATATTTATCCAAGAATGGGCCAATATGCACAAACAATTTTTTTATCGGCAGCATATAGCCAAGATTGGTTACATATTGGCAATACAAATTTTTCTTATATAACAGTAATATCCATTATTGAACCGATAAGTACACAAAAATTGTTTTTTTTTTGCATTATTGAGCCAATATTGGCAATACATACTTTTCCACATTGTAATATTACATTTACATAAAAATGGGCTAATATACACAAAAAAATATCTATATTGACATTATTTAGACAAAATTGGTTGATTATTGGCAATACAACTTTTTCTAATATTACCATAGTAATGTATCCATTAATGGACCAATATGCACAGATAATTTTTTTATTTGCAGTATTGAGCCAATATTGGATATACAGGGTGTCAATTTGAAAACTTCCCACCCCTATTATTTCGGAGTAGAAAAATTTTCGAAAAAATCCCTGAAACACGTCAACTATAATTTGAAGGGGGATGAGTTTTTATGCAAAATCCACCTTCCCTCTTTCAACCCCCCAGCCCCCAGAGCCACCCCCTAGAAAATTTTAAATGGGAAGGGGGGTCTAGTGATACATCATTTTCTAGGATTTTTAATTCCATACATTTTGGTGCTAAATTTTAGTCCCTAAGCTCAACTGTTTTGGAAATATTGACAGTTGAAAATTGACTTTTTTTGCTACTTTGACAGGCTGTAAAACCTAAACGGTTAATTTTAGAGGAAAACCGACCTTACATTCTTACAGATTTTCATAAACTATAATTTGACACCATTTTTGAATTTAACCAGAGATTAAATTTTCAACCGGAATTTTTGATCGTGGATTAAATTGGAAGTTGCTGTCAAATGATAGTTTATAAAAATCCAAGAATGTGAGATCGGTTTTCCTCTAAAATTACCCGTTTAGGTTTTACAGCCTGTCAAATTTGCAAAAAAGTCAATTTTCAACTGTCAATATTTCCAAAACAGTTGAACTTAGGGACTAAAATTTAGCACCAAAATGTATGGAATCAAAAACCCTCCAAAATGATGTATCACTCGACCCCCCTTCCCATTTAAAATTTTCCAAAGAAGTATTGTAAATATTTCTAGGAAATATTATAAATATTTCTAGGAGAAATACCTATTACATATTTATTAATTGGTAATATTGGAGAAATATTTATATTCAATATCGGATTCATATAAGAAGTATACATTGTGCCAATCTGAAAAACAAATATTGGGTATATTTCTAAAAGCAATATTACATATTTATTAATTCGCAATATTGGGACAATATTTTTCTTCAATATCGGATTCATATTTAAAATATATATTGGGCAAAAAAAAAAAATAATCTATCGTTTCCATCCTTGGGCCAATACGTAATTTTTTACATAAAAACTTAAATATGTCAAAAACGGTTAGACTTAGGTATAGGACATCGTACATGAAATGTATTTAGAATTTTCCTTAGAATCCAAAAATACATTAATATACGGGGTGTTCTATTTAAAATAACCGAGTTGGTATCAACTTCCGGTATGACCGAAAATGCCGCCATCTTGAAAATATTTTACCTGGATGTCCCCCATCGACATTGCTATGTTGCCAAATTTTCAAATTTTTACCTTTCACAGTTTTCCCATAAGCAATCGATGTCATTCCCGGAGGACCACCCTGTATGTAAATATAATATTTTACCAAAATTGTTGTGCTACTGAGATGGTCGATAAGGGGGATATTCAAATTCAAACATGGCGTGGAATTAATGTTGCCGCTTCTATAGATAATAAAAAAAAATATGTAAAAGTAAAAAAAAAACAAAGCGATTTTGGAACCCATTAATATAGGTGCAACATTCTGGTGAATTTAGCCTCACGCGGAATATCGTTCGGCATCCTTCGTAGCTTCGTCTGTCTGCTCCCCAGACTCTTATGTTGTCCCAAACTTGTTACAATAAATGAGACTGACGGATCAGGAGGCGTATCTAACTACCTAAAAAAATGTCGTCCAGCAATACATTTCAAAATCTGCTAAAAATGATAGCTAATTGTCAAGATGGGAGCTTTTTCGGATTTGGGAATTTTGCGGTACATAAAATATTCTCATATATTATTATCCAATCTCATATAATTTTATACAGGATCTCCTATTTTCAAAATTCAAGTATCTGGCAACCCTACTGTACATATTTACGTATAATATGCATAAGGCTATTTTCGAAATTCTCGAATGTAGGGCTGAGAAATCTTACCTCTTTAGGACAATGTGACCATTCAATTGTAGTTATATTTACCAAACTACAGTAAAAAAATCAACTGGTTATAAATCGTTTTTTATGAGCCAGTAATTGCTTCATTTTTGAGAAAGGGGACACTGCAGAACAAACCATTTATTTTGTGGCTCAAATCAAATTTCGAATTATTTATAAAATTATCTCATTATTCACCTGAAAAATTAACTGTTAACTGTTAATAATTACATTTGCATAATCACCTAATCAAGGTATTTTACATATGCTCACTAGTGCTCACTCTAGTAGCTACTACTTTTGCAACTTTTCGCAATAGGAAAGTTAGGCGTATTATCAATACGAAGATGCTCGAGAAGATTAAGCCGGTGTCCGGTGATTGATGAATAAAGTATTACCGTGAAGTCAACAACAACTTTTGATTGTAGGATTGGAGAAATCTACCTCTTTATTTGTAGGACAGTGTAACCATTTAAATGTAGTAATATTTACTAAGCTACATTAAAAAAATCAACTGGTTATAAATCATTTTTTATGTAACGTATCTGCTACAGGTTTGAGAAGGGAGACAGCCTAGATGAAACCTTTTATTTTGTCGGACAAATGTTGTTTCATATTATTTATGAAACTATCTCAACATTCAGCTACAAAATTAACTGTTATTATTTACATTTGTATGATCACCAAATAGACATGTTTTCCACCTGCGCACTCTGTTAGCTACCTGTTTTTGGAATTTTCGCAACAGAAAATTTGGGCGTCTTATCAAAATGAAGATACTCACGAAGATTTAGCCGGTTATTAATGTAAAGTTAAATCGTGAAATCGACTGTAGGACTGAAAATAGCTACCTGTTTATTTGTAGGACAGTGTGACCATTTAATTGTAATAATATTTACCAACCTACATTGAACAAATCAACTTGTTATTAATCATTTTTTATGCAACGTAATTGCTACATGTTTGAGGGGGGGGACATCGTAGACCAAACCCTTTATTTTGTCGGACAAATGTTGTTTCAAATTATTCATAAAATTATCTCAACATTTAGCTGTAAAACTAACTGTTATTAATTAAATTTTCATAGTCACCAAATCGACATGTTTTACACCTACGCAGTATGTTAGCTACCTGTTTTCGCAATTTTCGAAGAGAAAAAAGTTGGGCGTCTCGGTGAAATGAAGCTGCATTGAAAAAACTAGCTTGTTATTAATGATTTGGAAAAAAGGTCCTCGGCCCCCGGACTATATTGGGCTCAGAATGAATAGCGCAACTTTTTTCTCATTTAACCAAAATTGTATCTCATACCGTTTCCGGAATTCTCATGTAGTTACTTTTATCTGGGACACCCTGTATATTTATCCGGATCGGATAGGTATGTTGTTTAGAGTTATTTCCTGATCTATTCATTTATGTTTAAACTCCCTAACGCTATCTTCTAAATATTTCAGGTTGTTAACTTAGGAAGCACAATGTAACCCATAATCTAGCACAAGAAACAATAAACTTTTCATTTGACTTAATAAAAGCCAAATTTGCTGAGTTACTATGTAGTTAATAGTTATGGCTGACTAATGATCCAAAGCTACTCTACCAATCAGAATTTTATATCATAAAAAATTTTCCTGGTTTAAGAGTAAATATTCAAACAGTAGTTAAAGATACATAATACCATCTCTGTCCCTGGCACGAAAACAAAACTCATATTTCACTAAAATATAGACTACGCATTTCTGTAATTATTCCCTTAATGATTTTAATTGCTTATAAAGAAATTCATATACATACATACTTATTTACAGGAAAATTCCTTCATCAACTACATTTAATGACAAAACTTTTTTCGTCAAACCGTACAATTAAAAATGATATACGTTGGCATAAAATTAAAAATTAATTAAAGAATACCTCTTGGTACATAACTTATATGGTCGTTAATTCCATTTTGATGATGTATGGAGAATATTGTTTCTTAAAAGTATACGTTTTTGGCGACTTGCAACTAGTATTTTAATTTTGTTATGTAATTGTCTAGGTAATAATTAGGAAACCTTGCTTGAATTAGTGGGTCTCCTTGAAGAAGAAAATAATTTTTTCTATGACCTTTAAGACGAAATTAGTTTGCTAATAAATTGATATTAAAAATTGCTCTTGAGTGCCATAAATCAACACCATCAACGACATACTGCTCCAAGATTGCGAACACAATACATAAATTTAGTTGGTCCATATTTTAATGAAATATGATTCATGTGCTAAAGCAGGAGAAACACAAAATAAAACTTAAAAGATAAATAAAATCTTACCAGGATTTTGTCTCGTTATTATGCAATTATTCCCTAATAGTAGAATGTCTTTTAGATGCATTGATCGTCTGGATAAACCCAATAGTAAATGTTCTCCTGCGTGGGCTCTCAATAAAGCTACCTGTAATCAAAAAAAGCATGAAGCATGTTGATAATATTTTGTACAAAAAAATCTCACTTGGTCGTCTAATTGTAGTTCTGTAAAAGCTGGAATGTATTTCGCCCACTCTACCAATATAAGAAGCTGCTGTTTCATGGAATCGCATATATCGTTGAGATTTGCTTCTTGTCGGCCTGATAAGTCGTAGTCGTTAACTGGCGTGGATCCCATTTGCTGCAAATAAAACCAATGTTATTCTCAATTTATGAAATTAATGTGTTGCTGATAATAATTGTTTACAGTGCCGAACTTACTTCTAAAGCAGCTCCAACTTGTCTCGATAACATTTCAGCATTGAGCAAAGAACTGACCGAGAGGCCATTGTTCTGATTGTTTTCTTCGTAACTGGGTCTTCTACAACTTATTCTGTCTCTTTCATTTTGTACAGCTACAAAAAAGGAAAAAGGATAAATCAAATTTATTGAAATAAGAAAAATATTATTTTCCACTGATCAAAAATTTACAAAATGTATCCTACTATTTAGTACTACTGTGTATAAAAGAATACAAAACATAGAAGAAGTTCAAGAAAAATGTAATATCTGAGGTTACTGTGCACAACCGGTGCGAGAATATTCAGAAATTCGTTTTCATTGTGTGCATTGAATAATTTCGCAATTTATTTAGATATCTAGGATCGACTTTTGTATACATACAGGTTTATTTACAAAGCCCGTCTATGCAAAGCCCACATGCATTATGCACGGGCTACGTAAATCAAGGTGTCTAAAGCGCGTAGTTTGTAAGTTGCAGTCAGGGTTGATAAGAGATGAGAGTCAGGACATGCGGAATTCGTCACAATTTGGTGTCAAAAATAGGATAATTAGCGAGACAACTACTTTATTAATTTGAGCTAAGCTTAGTCCACAGTCCACACCAAAGAAACACATAGGAACATTTTGTTGCTGGTTGCCGCAACCTGTTTATAGAAACAAAAACAACAGCAAAAGTTCCGTAAACATTCTATCCACACCATGGTTACTCCATTTTTTGTAAATGTTTTGTTGTGTTGCTACAACAATAAACGCTGTGTCTACACCAGCAGTGTGTGTTCCTATTTTCCGTTCAAATATAATTGGCATCTCGTCATCCTTGGATATTTGGAAAGTTGACCCTTGTATAATAATGACATTATTATATGTCAAATTCCAGACAGTTTTGTTTCGAAACAATGGAGACAATGGAGTGCGAGGATTCACACACACACAACGGTTAAGTTTCGAGTTTTGGGGAACAAGCAACAACGTGTTTACACTGATAAAAATTAATAATAATAATAATGATAAATTTGTTTATTGACATTCAAACATTACAATTTCAAATATTACAAATAGCAATTTTTTTAAGGTTACCTATATGAAAACATGTAAATGGCAATAAACAGACTCACTTTTGAAGTGTTACACACTTGTTGTGAGAATTACACACTTGTTGTGAGAAGTTGAGAAACACAAAATGTTTGAGTTAATTGGTGAAGTAATTAATGTCAGACTGTGCAGTTACGTGGAATAAATTATTGTTGTGTTAATTGCGGACTTTGATTTTGGAATAAACGAACCCAAGATTTCTATCACGCACCCCAGATCCGTGACATTGGTGTCAGAAGAAAGATATAATTCGAGGACTGCAAAGTGAAATCCGATTGCAGAATAGTGCGGACTACTTCGGACATTAGTGTGAACACTAAGTAAACACTGGGACAGTTAGTCAGTGTAAGCAGTGACCCATAATATCAGTGATCACCAAAAGAGACTTGACTGATTATGTAAACTACCCTGAAAGTCTCTGTATAACCGATTTTGACTGTGATAGTGAACTTTCAAATAGGTTCTAGAAAATTCTGTTTGCTATATCAATCGACATTCAGAAAAGATATTTCAAGAAAATTCTAGAACATTCTATTCGAGAATAAAACAAGTTATCCAATTTGTGACTTCACCGAAGTGTTTGGAACTTCAGTCAAAAACCAGGAAAGATATTTGAAGAGTCAAAATAGTCCATAGTCTGCGCCAGTAGTATTGGTTACGAAGAAAGATGCAAGACTTACATTTTGTGTGGACTACCGTAAGCTTGATGACGTCACCAAGAAGCTCCCCTCTTCCGAGGATAGACGATACATTGACAACTCTATCAGGGTCCGAATGGTTTTCAACCTTGGATCCTAAGAGTGGATACTGGCAAGTGGCAAAACACAAAGATGACATAGAGAAAACTGTCTTTAGTACCGGAAGCGGGTTATACCAGTTTAACGTGATGCCTTTAGGATTGTGTAATGCTCCCGCTACGTTTGAGCGACTGATACATCTAATTTTGCGAGGCCTTACATGGAAAACTTGCCTGGTATATTTAGATGACGTCATGATCATGGGAAATTCATTCCAAGAACATCTCAACAACCTGAAAGAAGTCTTTGATCACTTCCGGAATGCCAACTTAAAACTGAATCCAAATAAGTGTTTTCTATTTCAAAATAAAGTGGAATTCTAAGGTCACGTGGTATTTGAAGATGGTATACAAGTCATGGAAGGAAAGATAGAAGCTGTCAGGGATTGGCCAAAACCACGCGACAAACATGAACTAATGAGTTTTCTAGGATTATGTTCTTATTATCGGAGATTTGTGGAAGGATCCGCCAATATAATATATATAATAACGGAAGAAAAATCAACATTTAATTGGACCCAAGAATGCCTAAAATTCCAGAAAATTCGGGAAAAAGAAATGACCGCGTTTATTCTGGATTTTATAAGAATGGATTACGGATATATAAAGGCCGATATTAGTTAGTAGTTTTTAAGTACCTATTAAGATTGACTGTGATACGATTTAGATAGTGAATTTTATAAGAATTGCGAAGAGTTAGGTTGTTTGAGTTAATTAGTGAAGTAATTAGTGTCAGAGTGTGAAGTAACGTGGAATAAATTATTGTTGTGTTAATTGGACTTTGATTTTGGAAAAAACAAACCGAGGATTCTGTCACGCACCCCAGAGCCGTGACAATATGGTAAGAAGCAACTTACAGGATTTTTTGTTGCTACAACCGTAAACAATAAGCAACTTGAATAAACTTTTCGAAACATACAGAAACAAGCAACATAAACACAATGTTCCTACATGCTGCTTTAGGCGTGGACGTAGCTGAATACTAAATAGATAAATAATGGACAAGATAACTAGTTTTAGAGATAATCAGCAAGATAATCAGTTAGTTGATTTGAGCTTATAAGTGGGAACACGTCACCAGGACCATAAATTTAAAATTCAAGTTTCAAGGAAGATGTACAGAATATTCTATGGTAAATACACGGTAGCAAACAGCCATAATGGAGCAAGTCAATCAAATACTGCTGGACTTTATAAAAAATAACGAAGACAAAAGACAAGAAGAAGAAGCTCAAAGACAGAAAGGCAAGAAGAGGAAACCCAAATACAGAAACAAAGGCAACAAGAAGAAGTGCGAAGATAAGAAGAACAGGACCGGTTTGCAATACTTTTAAAACAACAACACGAAAAACTGAAAAACAGGAACGGTATCAGGAGTATTTTAAATTTCAGTGAGAATGGATTCAAATGGTAATCTCTGAGAAGCAAACAAGACAAGAAAAAATCTTGGAAAAGCAAGAAAATAAATTCAAGAATACTATGGAAGAAGTTGGGAGTGTTCGTCAAGAACTTGGAACAGTTCATCAGGAATTTGGAACTATTCGTCAGGAACTTTCAGATTGCGTTCAGAAAAAAATTAGAAAGTTGAAATGTGACCAATGTATGTACATACAGGCGTCAGTATGAGAGTGTTGCAATAGCTAATGGTTGGAGCTCCGATAATATGGCTACAGGATTGATCATAGCATTGCACTGCTCTGCCTTAGACCTATTAGACAATCATTCCGCCAACTTCCCAACAAAACTATGGTGCGTTAGAGCGTCATTATGGAAATGAAGACCAGATAAAACTAAAAAGAAGACAGAAAGCTGTCGGGTGTTTATAAGAATTTCAAAACCATTGCCCCCTACCCAAAAGCAATAGCAGAAATGTAAGAACAATTTACCGCTATGAGAGAATAACAAATGCTGTTAATTTCTAGTAAATTTATTGACAAAAGTAAGGTTTTTGGACCAAATTCATCCCCTAAGCTAAAACACGACAGAGCAAATTAGAGTCAAAAACCAAAAAATCAAATCAAATTGAAGCTTGGAGAAAGCATCACCAACCCGGACTTCAAACTCAGACAGCACACAAAGTCTTAAAGACGTCTTTTTCAGGTCTGCATTTCGTCTGAACTTCTGAAGACCAAAAAAAGACGCTGTTCATAAAATGTAGTAAATTCACATCTTAGAGACAACTATTTGGTACAACCAGGCCTAAAAGTGAACAATGGTTTATGTCTTCTTGAAGAGAGATTCGAAGGCGTCTCCAAGACATCTCGTTGAAGATGTTTTTGTTGCCATGCAAATTGATAGGATTCAAACGAAGGTTGAAACTTAACCATCAGTTCAGTGTTTTATAATACTGGTCCTTAGTAACATTGGACGTCTTCAAGATGTCAAGACGTGGACATCTTAGGGACGTCTTCAAGATGTCTACAAAAATTTCCCACAGAATACGTGTCTCATTCAATTTAGAAGTTACTGGATACCATTTAGAATGCTACAGAACACTTTAGAACTTTAATAAGCTTTTTGGTAATTTCAAAACACTTAAAATTCAATTCAGAATTTCCAAAAGCATTATGTAGCGCTTCAGAACATTTTGGGTATTTCGGAACCAAATGCCCCAAAACATTCAAAAAACGATTAACAATTTCCAAAAGCATTTTAGAACAATTCAAAAGCTTGAAACCCATTTTAGGGCGTTCTAAAACACTCGAACACTCTAGAATCTCCAGAAACATTTTGAAACGTGCCAGAATCTTAGGATTCGAGTTGAAAGTTGCAAAACGCCTTCTAGAAGACTTTTAAGAGCGAATTTATATTACTGTAGAACTTGAGACCTTTAATAAGCATCCAAAACACTAAACAGTTAAAATCCACATCAGAATTTTCAGGAGCAATTTGGTACTGGAAACCTTTTAGAACTCTCTTGAACTAATTTAGAACACTTTGGAGCTTCAATAGGGCTCTAAAACACTTAAAAATCTGTCAACAATTTAGAAATGACTGAAAAAAACTTCTGGAATGCTCCAGAACTTGACAAGCTCAGTTAGAACACTTTACAACTTCGATAAACCATTTAAAACATTCCAAAACACTTTCTAACAGCATTTTGAAAGGCTTCAGAACAATTTAAAAACCTTAGAATTATTTCAGAGAGCCAAGTGTTATAAAAATTTATAAAATGAGTAGGTAATAATACTATATTAGCAAGAAAATGTTTCTCTTTCAACTCAAATTCTTTAATTTTTATAATTTTTCGTATTTCAGGCTATTGAATATCCCTCATTTCTTTATTCTAAATTCTTAATTTTCTTTTGGCCCTTGAATTTTCTCATTCCAAGTTCTTGAATTATTCCCATATTTTAAAAATTCAGGCTCTTACTTTGTTTTTTAATTTTTACTTCTGACTTTTCTAATGTTTTTCTTTATCTTTAGGCATAGACATCTGAAAGACGTTGGGTTTTGCAACATACGACGTCTTTTCTTTAAGACGCCTTGAGAAGACGTGAGCAGACGACTAAAAGACGTCTTGAATCTTGTGCTTGGACAACTTAAGGACGCTTCTAAGATGTCTCTATGCTGTCTGGGAATAAGTTCTCATCCCAAACAGCATCATGCAAATATCTACAAACAAATCACAATACTGTCACATGTTTTCCTACTCGTAACAGGCGTAACTTCCTCTAGTGATGAGCAAAATGCCTCAAATATCTCCACTGATGAGCAGGGCGTAAAATAGACATTAATGAACAACAATTTATGACGCAAGTCGCAAGTCTCAATTCCCAAAGTTCGTGAGCAGTTCAAATTCTGGCAGGAGACAATTAGTTCCGATAATTGCCTTGGGTTTTCTGATAAAAATATCGACAGCCAAAAGGCACAATACCTAGATCTTCGATTAAATATATGAAAATTTTAATCTTGGTTTTAATAGTGAAGTAACATTAACAGACTTACTATCACAGAATAGTTTCAAATGCTGAGACTGTATAGTAACTTTAAATAAGGATACTGCCTTGTAACTGGATGTCGGCTCATCAAAGGCTAAAAACATCGGGTTAACTCCCCCATTACTCAGAAACACTGTAGAATGTAAAAAGACCCAATCAACAGCCTGGATACAGCAGTGAGATTCGAAGACGAACTAGGTAACAAAAACGCACAAGGATTATTGGCAGATTAAGAAGGAATCTTAAGGAAGATGAATGAAGTAGTATAAGAAATCAGTCGCCACACCAACCAAGAAAAAAGGATTGTGCTCAGAAAAACTGCGAGAGTATGACCATTTCTTCAGTAAGGTTCAAAAAGCATTAAGAGCAAAGAAAGGAGTTTCGATTATCATATACATATAGAACGTAACGACCGCTTCAAAAGAAAAATGGGGCTCAAAATTAAAACCTGTGATAGAGGTAATTCATTATAATTATTCCACTTTATGCCCATATTTGTGTGACTGAAATCTATGTGAGAACTATAAATATAGTGCTCAAATATTTACATAATTAATCAATGTCTGAAACAATAAATTTCTTGAATAATAATGTTTGATGAACGTCATAAATTAAATCGAAATTTTAAATTATTGAAATATGTTCAGGTACTATTTCAATATGTAGGAACAAATTTGAAATTGCGTTTACAAAATGTGTTAAGTATTATTGCTATTTTTACCTTCTTTTTTCATGCCGGCTTTGAAACATTTCCGTAATCGACAGTATCTGCATTGGTTCCTTTTATCCTTGTCGACCACACAATTCCGGTTGAATCTGAAATAGGAAAAATATTATATCGATTTCTCTCATCTCATAAATGATGGATGTGAACTGTCATTTTTTTTTTTATATTGGTCCGGTCACAAAAGACAAAGTCTATACTTCCCATGCGGCACCATGAGCGGAAAACATTAAGTGACGATTAATCCTCAGTTTGAAAACGTTAAGGTTGAATCGTTCAGGAAATGAAGTAGGAGGCAGGGAGTTCCAGAGATAGGGAGTACACCACCAAAAAGATGCTCTATATTAAGAGGTCCTCGGGGTAGCCAATCACGGATGGGGTGCCTGTGATCTTCTTGTGGTTCTTAACTTCTAGCTGGAATGAGGCCAGCCAGATCGTCAGAATATCTTCCATGGTGATATAGCGATAGAATAACGACCAGTCGGCAACCTTACGTCTATGTTCGAGAAATTGCAATGAATCGATGAGAGTTGGATTGTTTATCGTTCATTTTTATTGTTCTTTGTACTGCATCTAATAGAGCCAACGAATGCGTTTGGTAACATCGCTCCAGATGTGGGAACAGTATTCTATACATGATCTGATTTGAGAAGAGAGAAATTCAGAAGTAGAAAAGTGTTTTGCACGAAATAAAAAAAAAAGTTGGTCGATGCGGTCAACCCAAGAAGAGATAAGTACTGAGGGATGTATACAAAGATTTTGTCCCGACATCCTTTAAACTGGGTTATCATCGGTGGAAGCTTTCTTATTTGAAAATAGTGATGCTTGAGTTTTGGAAGAATTGAATTTGACTAGGTTGTTAAGGCCCCAGTTGGTAATGATAGAGTGTATCTGTTCTCGAGCGGAGCGTGTGGAAGTGGCTGCAGTAAGCGGTTTGTCAAAAGAAAAAGATGCCATGAAGCTACTATATCGTTCGCAAAGTTGTATATGAGGTTTCTTGTCACATTTAACAAATCATTAATAAAAATGAGAAACAATGTTGGGGGCAGAATTGAGCCTTGGGAAACGCCGGCAACTATAGGCAGTGTAACAGACGACACACCATCGACCACAACAAGCAAATTGCAGTTGTAGAGGTATACGGTTCGGCAATCCGCATGAAATTGTGAAGAATGACGGCATACATCATAAAGATGAAATAAAGACTAAAGAGGCAGTGTTGAACTTAACCTCAAGAGGGTCGTTTTATTAAATTCCTAAACCTATGCTAATTACATTATCATGCTCAGTCTTTCTTAATCTCAGAGCGTGAAGCCACTGAATGTTTATCCAATATGAGCGCTTACCACAACCTGTTCCAGATAAATGCATTGTCGAATGCTCGTGGCACTCTACTTGATCTGGTTTTCACCCAGGACCCCGAGGATACTTGTCTCTTCTTAGCTAATGACATTATCCTCCCCATTGATGTATATCGTCCTGCTTTACTTTTTGCCTCCTGCAATAGGTCACCTCACTGCAATACTGACGTCCCTCAGCCTGACACGTACTATTATGATTTTGGGTCTGCTAATTACACACTCCTCAACGATAACCTTGGGATGGTTCGCTGGGATGACTTACTCCGGGGCCTCGATGTGGCGGAAATGACCAGAGTTTTCTATGATGTTCTCTATACGGCTATCGATTGTTGCATAGCAAAGAAGAAGCTCTCAAGAGATAAATTTCCACGATGGTTCTCCCTCGAACTAAAGGACCTAGTAATTAAGAAGAAAAGTGCCCACAGAACTTGGAAGCAGACGGGTTCCCCTGCTGACTATGTTGAATTTTCCTTCAGGCTCAGTGTAAGACTCTTTCCGAAGATTGCTATACAAATTATGTCATATCCTCAGAGGTGTCATTACCACTGATCTAAAAAATAAATGGATAAACAATCGGTACGGCTCGATTAGCTAAACTTGTGCGAAAATTTGGGGTCAATATTCTATGAACAGTTGTGCAACGGAAGAGCCTAACGTATGCGCAGTGTCTTATCTTTCGAACAACTGTTCTAAATTTTGAAATTCCCTCGTTTTCGTTGGCCAGATTTTGTGCACGCACAGTACATGTATCTACTGCGCAGGCTCACAGCTGTCCGAGTCAGTTGTTTTTGTTTACATTATGACCTCGTAAATTAGCAGCATTAGAAGCGTTCTTTGTTTATCCATTTATTTTTGAGATCAGTGGTCATCACTACTAATGGATAAAAATCTAAAACATTTCTGGAACTTTGTCAATGCTAGACAACAGAGTTATGGACTCCCTTCTTATATGTTATATGACGGTAAATTAGCCAAAACTGGGCCTGAACTTTTCGGTGCATACTTTCATCCTGTATGTGCATGTGTTATTGGCCACAGCATTTCCGATAGTAACATTCCCATTCATGACTTTGAAATCTCCATCTCAGTTATTTACGAGGAACTGTGTAAACTGCGAATCTTTCGTGGACCTGGCCCGGATGGCATCCCCCCTCTGATGCTTAGCAGGTGTAGCTTTATATTATCTTGTCCTTTGTTTATTTTGTTCAATGAATCACTTAGTAGTGGGGAATTTCCTGAGATTTGGAAGCGGAGTTTTATCACGCCCATCCATAAGACCGATGACATAATGGACATCACTAAATACAGGCCTATCAGTATCCTTAACACTACCCCTTAGGTCTTTGAGAATATCGTAACTGAATTCTTAACTCCTATCATCAACCCTTGCCTAATCGAACAGCAAGCAGGTTTCCGGCCATAATGCTCAACCGAAACTAACTTCATGACGTAGGTACCAGGATAGAATCTCAGGGATTCTTGAAGGCGGTGGAATTGCTCACCCCATATATACCGATTTTGCTAAAGCCATGGATCGTGTCAACCACAACGTCCTACTTGCGAGGCTTGAGAGAATTGGAATATCTGGTACTTTGCATGCGTGGATCAGCGACTACCGTAGGAACAGAACCCAAATAGTCAGGAGCATCAACTTCTGCTAACAGCCCATTGACATCCCTTCAGGTCTACCACAAGGATCTCACCTGGGACCCCTGCTATTCAATATTTTTCATCAGCGATATTGGTTTTTGTTTCATCAATAGGTAGTGAGTTTCTGTGTTTTGTCGACGACTTAAAGAGTCTCCTTCCACGAAGACTGTGCCAGACTACAATCTGACTTGGATAGACTTTCCAAATGGCGTGTCACAAGTAGCATTTATGCCTTTAAATGTAATGCTATCGTTTTCTCCAAAAGTCAAAGCCCCATACAATTGGTATACCACATAAGCAATGACCACTTGAAACAGTATCCCAACAACGTGATCTCGGTGTCATTTTTGATAACACGTTAAGTTTCTCCGGCCACATTTACGATATCGCTACCAGGGTCTCTGAAACTGCTGGGCTTTGTTAAAAGGTGTTTAAGGGACTTCACTAACATCTTGGGCACCTATGTATTCTGTCCACATCAATGCCTTGGAGCAGATGCAGCGTAAATTTGTACCGCACTTGGCCTCCAAGGCAGGTATCCTCCTCCCGAAAATTATATCTACAACTATGATGACCTTTATCGACGCTTCAACCAGACGAAATCAAAGTGATTTGTTAACATTTGTTTAAAATACTAAATTCTCACAACGAGTCCATGTACCTACTATCTCGAATTGGACTTCATGCCCCAGCAAGAACCACACGCTCTTCCACTACCTTTTCAAAAAAGATCCATCGGACTAACTATGGTTCGAATGCTTTTATCTCCAGAGCTTCCCGAATCTCTAATAAGTTCGATACCCTGGACTTTTTCAGTACTCTCTAGAAAAGAGCTTAACTTCTTAAGCAAAGTTCCTGTACCTATTAATTGTCAAGGTGATATTTAGTAATAAGAGATTATTTTATTGTAAGTAATGTTCACCATCTTGTCATGTTGTTGAGTAGTCTTTTGTTTTTCTATTTTGATTCTTGTTATCAACTAATTTGTTGTCTAAATGTCTAATTATTATTGTATAGATGTTCTGTATGCTATTATGGGATTTCCCGTCAATACATAAATAAATAAATTATTACATAGCGCAGTCTTTACAAAGTTCGACATTCAACCAGCATAATGAATAATTTCAATAAAATTCAGTGGTGCCGACAAGTTCAATTTCAAGTACAAAGCTCATAACCTAAAGTTGAAACTAGGCGATACTCGAGGGATTTCTCCCTTGTGCTTGAGGGGCAATTCGGCTGAAAATGGGAAATTATGGAGGGCCAGGTTTGAGAAGAGCCTCAGAAGTTTACAAAAAAGATGAAAAAACACAGTGTGCACAATTACCTCTTCTACACTATATCGGTGATGAAGGCTTCAAAATTTTACCAACCTTCAAAATTCCTCCAAGTGAGATGAAGACAGAGTCTCCATCCAATATTCCTGCTGATGAGAAAAATAAATTGGCGCCCCTAATGAAGAAATTTGAAGAATATTTTATTGAGAAAGAAAACATTGCATTTCAGAGGTATCGATTCTTTTCCTTTTGACAAGAAGAGGGACAAAATACAGAAGATTTTATTGTGGAATTAAAGAAGCTAAGAAGAAAGCTAACCGGTGCAAACTAGAAACTAGATGGCCTACAAGATAACCCGATAGTAACAATGAAAACCTACATGTGTAATCAAGAATGAAACCCTAAGGGAGAGGCTCTTACAGGACGACAGTTCGTCACTTGATAAGGCAGAAGAACTGTGTCAAGTACTCATTACCGCAAAAGTTAGAAGCAGGGTTATGGGTCAGTCCTCAGCGGAAGTCCATGCAATCATTTACAAAAACAAGGACCATCCTGTCCATCCTCGTGTATTGAAAAATTTTAATAAATGTGGAAAAAAGGAGCATTTGTTGAATCAGTGCCCAGCTACTTTTGCAAAATACCTAATCATTTTGCAACTGTGTGTTGGAAAAAGAAGAAACAATCAAATGATGCAAGGAGGATCTAAAGAGTGAACGAAATTTGTGAAAAATGGTATTAAATCTGCACTTGATATGAAAGATATAAAGAAATATTTGACATAGAGAGTGTACACATATGTAGACGATTTGCTTGTTTGGGGTAGTAGAGTAGAAAAGCATGATGAGAGATTAGAAAATGTTCTCGATTTGGGTGAACAACATGGTGTAAAATTTAATTTAGAAAAAAAATTAAATTAAATAAACATGGTTTGCAAAGGCTACTGAGTGCTCTTACATATGTAAGGAAATTTGTAGAGAAAATTCTCGAATGAAACTGTAATTTTAAGACCCTTGCTGAGGAAAGAAAATGAATTTGAATGGCAACCAGAACACCAGGTAGCATTTGAGCAAATTAAATAGATTTTAAGTAGTAAACCTGTTTATCAATAATTTTAAATAATGTGAATTTAGATACACTTGTGTGTCTGTAGATCCATCAAAATCAGGATGTAGAGCAGTTATTTTTCAAAATAATTTACCTTGTGCCTATACATCAATGGCAATTACAGATACCCAACGCAAATATGCACAGATAGAAAAGGAATTTCTGGTAATTTGTATGTATGATTGTCTCAGAAATTAATATAACTAAAACTAAATACTATTTCAAATGGGTGGCCTGATAATAACAAGGTGAGCCAGAGATATTCAGAAAAAGCGCTTTCCAGAAATAGATTTCAAGAGCTTCGAAAGAAACTTGGTATCATTAAAGTTACTCAATCATAACAAAAGGTGGGAGTTTTATTATTAAGATTTTTGTAATGTATAATATTTAAATATGGTCTGCTGTACACTTATTTGGCACGTTGGTTCTGATTTTTAGACAGTTGCCATAATGCCAATAATATTAGTTGTTTTTCACATTTAACAGAATCCCAGATGTCTTAACACGTCTTTATAGAATATCATAACTATGATCTTTGCAGAACACAAAAAATTGTCATAGAATATTATTTTATAGTAAACCTATTTACAGTAATACAGATATTTAATTTGAAGTGTACATTTGTATAATATACTGTAAATATCACCCTACCTCAGAAACTGCAACGACTATAAAAAATTACCTTATGATCAAGAATATAAAATACAACACCAAATTTTGAAAGTTTGTAAATTAATTTTGGATTAAGGCCTCAACGGCCCCCCCCTTCAAATTATATTTTAGTTCTAAAAAAAATTATAGATGGCGCCAAGATTAAAGCATTTTTACAGTGGAGCATTTTAAATATTATAGCGATTTCAATTTGCAGAATCAGTGCAACTTTTTTCACTCAGTTCGCACTGATTGGCTAATGGGATTATGGAGGGATTTGTATTTCCATGCCTGGCCTGGTATGACTTCAAATTTTGTTCTACTCTGTAAAAGTGATGTTTTGTTGTAGAGCTTGTTTTTGAGGTATGTTTAGTTGTGGTAGGTACCTATGAGATTTTCAGGAAGCAATTGGCACATGAATGGGTTTACAAATAGAGGAATACTCGGAGGAATAATAAAAAAATAGTCTTACCAGGAGTCTAACACAATTTCAGATATTGGTAGAAGATCCAAGAGCTAGTAAAAGAAATGCAAATCGCCAGATACCTAAATTGAATGCTCTACTGCATTGGTGGATATTATTATTGCACTAATATGCAAGAACACAAAGGAAAAACTCTAATTTTAGCACTTTCCACCTTTTGTAAATAAATTTTAATAATTATTATTGAAGCTTTTTATTTTTTCAAAGATATTTTGTCCTACAAAACACCATCCAATTTTTTTATGTATACCTAGGTACGTAAAATAGATACTTTATTTATTTTCAATGGAAACTAATGGCACAGCATGCTTTGTGTCTATTATTTTATAAACCAATAATAAAAAACAAAACAAATACACAGGATGAGAAAGAGGTTCTGTTGTCAATAGGCTTTATTGGAAACGCTGAACAACCTACATCAGCTGCTGCTCCAACGGTTCGGGGTTTTCGAAAACGCCTAATTATGACATCACGAATTGACTGGTGGCGCCATCTTCGAAAAAAAGCCTGAATCATATTTGCCAAAATATCTGTAATTTTATTCCAAAATCGGTTTTAGCCTACAAAAAAAAAACGGCACATCAGAATTTGCTGAAATTTGGCATAAACATTCTTTGATCGATTATCTAGAGAATAGTGCTCTTATTTTTTCAATTTGTACCGTGGATTTTTCTATTTTTGGGAAATAGTTCATTTTCACAATATAGGCTAAAAAAAAATTTGAAATATGGAAAATCTAACTGCACTATTCTCTAGATAATCGATCAAGGAATGTTTATGCCAAATTTCAGCAAATTCTGATGTGCGGTTTTTTTTTGTAGTCTAAAACCGATTTCTGTATTTTGTATCGTGTGCATGGGAGCGATGTTGCCCCCTTAAGTCGTCAACATACATACGACAAAGATAATTTCTGAGAAAAAAATGTCCAAAGCAATGATATTCTAAACAATAGTTTTTTTTTTTGATAGCGTATAATGACCGATGTTTGTTTTCAACAAATTGAATGCTTCATGTTAAATAAATGATAGTAATTAGTAGATGGGTAGGTAGTTGAAATTTATTTTCGTACCAAGGTGAAGACTTAAATTAATTATAATTTCGTATGAAACCTTGTCGGTGTACATGTATGGTGGGTGCATTTACCTAAAATATCCCAGAAGATACCCCAATCGGACTTGTCAGAGTTGAACATAATATAGACATTTCAGAGTACCTATACCTATACATATTCAAAAATTTAGGCATTTAACTTTTCCAGTAAACTCTATTTTATGAAAACCCCCAGAAATAGGATTGCGATTATTTTCCATATGGGCTCAAGCATGGGAATTTTAGACAAGATTCAATCGAATATTAGAAGAATTATTGGAATTTTTTTGAAAAAAATATGGTCGCAAGTTACATCTTTCAGGCTCGCAATGAAACATCTTGTCAACGCGACTGTGATTTTTTCGAAATATTCTACAATGACTGCTGAAAGAGAACAAAATGCTCTACAAAATCACAAAATATAATCTCCATCCATTTAGAGTGTCTTCAAAAAGTTAAGAGCTTTTAAACTTTACTGCAACATATTCATAATTTGCCGTAAAATAAAATACTCAGCAATCAACATTTTCCTTTCGAATTCACACCAATGAGAATACAAATCCTTACCTGCAAGTATACAAATGATTCTTTCTGACACTCCTCCTGAAAAACCCTTTGCAGCCGTCGCAAGAAGCCGCCCCATAATGTTTGCCGGTCGCCCTATCTCCGCAGATGGCGCAGTGTTGCTGACCGATGGCAGCTACAGGGATGCTTCCGTTGCTGACGTGGGACAGTGGGGCGGTCAAAGCGGCGTTCCCGTTAGTCCCTGTCGGTCCGCAGCCCCCAGGCGCCGACATGGGCGAATCCGAGTCGGCTGTAAGAAACAATAAGTCTAATGATATTGATATAAAAAAAAGTTTAATGATAAAAACCAAAAAAATTAAGTTCGAGTTCTCTCTAAGAAAATCTCTCCTAACTGAAGCAATATTCTGAAACAGAATTTGGTAATTTATTAGTATCTAGCTATATTTTACTTTTCAAAAAAAAGCTCCATTCTTATAATGTTCAAATCAAAACTGCATTTCCTCCGCCTTGAGCACAGTATATATACAATGTTTCAAAAATTTTCCGACTTCAAAGCCAAACTCATACGGGCTCCCTGTTATTTTGTGGAGAAACATCATTATCCATGGCTCTACTCATTGATTATTTCATCTCGTTAATAATCTTAACTAACACATTACATTATTAAATCCCATTAAAATAAAAATAATTTTTATCATCAATTACACACACGTCTGGTAAGGTGACAATATTTCTTCATAATAAAATTGGGCAAACTTTTATGTCTTATTAGCATAGTCATCAAGATGAGTTTTTAGTTTTTATATGTATAATATGACCTTTACATTTTTTTTCTTTGACTTTGACGTATAATAATTGAAATTGCGTAATGGGATCCGGGTACCAATATGAAAGAATTTATGCAATTTAAAGAGTAAAATTGATTTCGAGGGGTCGAATTCTATTTCTTTGAGATTACATATCCCAGCCTTTCCCAGTCTATTTTTAGTATCTTTATTTTTTAAAAAATGCACTTTTGCTATTTGGAGGATGGGATGCCATTTTCTGCTTAGCGAAATATTGTGGCGGCATCTCTTATTCCGCACCAGTCCCTTACTCCCTTATGTTCCGAAGCCACGAGTGTTGCTTTCTACCCGGGCCTCGTTTACCTTTTATCTTCCCTTGCAAGATCAACTTTGGAATGGAATATCATGCACCTCCGATAATATGACCAAGATAGGATATCTTTCGTGCCTTAACAATTCCAAGCAGCTCTCTTTGAATTCCAGATATTCTCAACACCTCTTCGTTGGTTTTGCGGGCGGCCCATGGAATGCGAAGAAGCCTGCGAAGGGCCCACATTTCAAACGCCTCTATGCGGTTCAAGGTCCTTACTTTTATTGACCATGTCTCTTCACCATATAGGAGGATGGGCCACACGTAGCATTCGATAACCCGAAGACGTAGTTTCATTGGGAGAGTACGGGCAAGCAGAAAATTTTTCAACTTCATAAATGTGGTCTTAGCCTCTCCAATTCGTATTTTAGCTTCTTCATCGCAGTCCCATTTTTGGTTAAGAGTGGTATCCAGATAAACAAAACGCGACACCTGATCCAAGTCTCTTCCTTCAATTCTAAGCACAAAGCTCACATGTTGTATTATCTTCTTGAAAAGCCAGTTCAAAATATCAGTAGTGATTTCGTTGTTGATTCCTACCTCGGCAGTCTGTTGTAAATAAAGATTTTGGATTAAACGGATATCCCTAGAATATATGCCAATCTCTTGCAACCTTGCTAAAAGAAAAAAATCAAAAGCTTTTTGATAGTATCTATATAAAACAAATAAACACATCTCGTCTCTCATCATAACATTTCTGGATAAGTAGTTTCATAGAGAAGAGTGCCTCCCTAGTGCCCAGGCCCTTTATAAAACCAAACTAGGTTTCTCCGCTCATTGCTTCGCACTTATTATATATTCAGGTATGGATAACTCGGAGGAAGACTTTAAGAGCGCGTCACTCATAAGACTCATCTGCCTGTAGTCTCCACAGTTTCTGGGGGCACTTTTTTTAGGGATGGGTACAAAGGTAAACTTGAGCCAATCAGATGGAATTTTATCTGTCATAGATTTTGTTGCATAGATATGTCAGGATTTTTGTATCTAGCGTCTTCAGAACCCCAGCATGTACATTGTCATGACCAGGGCTTTTTCGATTTTTCATGTTCCTGATAGCTTGTTGAACTTCACTCTCCAGTATGTCTGGCCCAGTTAGTTGTTCTGTTGAGCTGAAGAGGTCTTGCAAGTTGCGCTGATCATGAAAAAGCGTTTCCGCGTACTGTTTCCATTCATTGCGTAGGTCATCTGGATTTTAAGGATGAGTTCTCCATTTTCATTTCTTAGAGATGGGATTGATGATCCTTTGATAGGGCCAGTTATTTGCTTTATCTTTCGATGAAAGTTGACTGAGTCATGTAACACATTCTGCAATGATCCATTGTTCTCTGGCTTCTTTACATTTTCGTTTTATTTTCCGATGTAGTTCAGTATACCTTTCAGACTCTTGAGATAGTTTTGCACGTCGCCGTTCTTCCATTTTATCAAGAATTTCATCCGTCATATCTTGACACGTTGCTGCTGGCCTAAGACTGTCTCACAGGCATCTTGGAGATTTTCTTTAACGTTGTTCCAAAAGTCTTCAGGGTTGTCTTTGCTTCTTGGATCATTGGCATTGCATCGTCGGTTCAGTTCCAGTCTCATGTTCTCCTCAATGTTTGTCTTGTTAAGCTTCTGAACATATGTTTGAAGGGCTTTTCTTTTCCTCGTTATTTGAGGATTGAGTTTAAAATTGGCTATTATAGGGTTATGGTCGGATCCAATATCAGCTCCCGGATATGCGGCCACACACGTGATACTATTCTGGTATCTGTGGTTTATCAGAATATAATCAATCTGATTTCTGACTGTGGAGATCGCCATGTATATAACCGTCTGGGAGGAAGTTTATAGTAGGTATTTTTAATAACCAATTTTTCCTCTTTACAGAACTGAATAACCAGATTACCTCGTTCGTTTTTCTCGCCAAGACCAAAATCAGCCGTCACACCATCCACTCTTTCTTTTCCCACTTCCGCATAGAAGTCACCCATTACGATGGTTATTTCGTCAGACTCTAGCAAGCTTAAAACTACATGGACTTGTTCGTAAAATGTCTGTATTTCTGCCTCTGGTTTCGCATGTACTTGTAAGAGGATGATTCTGTCTGAATGGACAACAACATTTCGTATGGATTTCTTTACTTTTTCAGTAATTAGAAATCCTACTCTGTTTAAGTGGATTTGGTCTGAATCTCCAGAGTAGTAGAAAGTTATTCCCTGCTTATCACACATTCTACTATTGGGCCATCTACTTTCGCCTATTCCGAGGATGTCAATATTGAGTCGTTGCATTTCCTTTATGGCATTATCAAGTTTGCCAATACCAAAAAGGGATCTCACGTTCCATGTACCTACCTTTTTCATGTCAAGCCGGGGGATTCTTAGCACCCTCTGATGATCTAACATCTGCCCGGGACTGAGGGCCAAAGGGTTTTTGTTTCCTGACATGATAAAGTATTTTGGATAAAAGGACGTCCTGGGGAGAATAATGCGGTAGTTTCCCATTTGCTTTCCGCATCACAGTACCACAGCCCTCTAGCTGCTTCAGCTTTGCCTGTGGAATTCCAGTGATCGAGTCAAGGATCATTTCCTTATTGTCACGAGTTAGTAATGATGATCGCTGCTGCCCTTTATCATGCTGGTTTTGGTCCGCCCCGGGTATTTCATTTTCCCGATGCCACACATATCTGGAAGGCTTTCCCCTCTCTGCCACCTGAGGAGGTGCCCGATGGGGGATTACCAAACCCCCAACACGGATTATTATATTTAATAAATAATAGTACATTATACACCTAGGGACTAAAGTGATACCTTCAGTCCCGAGACAAAAAGTTTATAGCCCGTCCGAAGGAAGAGCTATAATTTGTCGAGGGATTAAAAAACAGTTTAGAGGGATTAAAAGTACCCTTTTCTGTTCCATTAAATCTTCGGGAAATAACGTAAGTAAAATTTAATCCCTTAGGAAATAGAGTAAAATTTAATCCAATCAATTAATAATTGAAAGACCCACTTTGCCTCCTTAAACAGGAATTAAAAGGGTACTTGGTACTTCCAATCCCTAATGTGAATAAAGATATTTACTACAATTCCTCATAATTTACATCCCCAAGTTTTGAGATAACATAACCGTTTTTAGGGCTTAGATACATAGGCCATCGGATGCGAGTAAGAAGAAACTTCGTTCACAGCAAAATTGTCAAAGTAATGGGACTGGTATATAGTGCTTCTCTTGTCGACTGATTTTCTCCTGCAAAACATTTTAAGACGAAACGAGAGAATGCCTTCTCTCGTCGATATTGAGAAATTTATATTGCATTTCATCCCACAAAATCATTTGGAATAAATTTTCTTTATTATATAGATCGGTTCCACAACGTTCTGTTTTTCGATTCCCACTCGTTTCTATCTGCTCAAAAAACTTCGTCTATAAGCTTATGTTACAAATTTCATGATCTACGCCAAAGAAGTAAAATTTCTACGAATACGAATAACCCTGGACTCTAAACTTTTCTGGAATTGACACGTGAGAAACACAACAATGCAATCTCGACACTAATCGTCTGCAAAAACATTGAGGGTGAAACATGGGGCTGTAACCCATCAATCCTGCGCTGGGTGTATACCATGCTGATATAGTGAGACCCAACGGAACAATAGCTTGGCATAGCCGAACCCAGCTAGTAACAGCTAGAAAAAACTTGCGTGTCTCTCTATAACAGAAGCATTGAGATTATGTCCAACTACGACATTAGAAGTCATCCTAGACCTCGCATCACTCCACATAATAATGGAGCGGGTTTTTGAATAGGCGAAGGCCGGTATTCAAGGGAAAACGCGATTTGGTAGTCCCAAACTGTGCACTTCAACTTATAGATTTGCAAAAGATGCGATTGTTGAAAAATTCAGCATCGAGAAAAACTTTTCCATGGAACAAAGCTCGAAGAACAAAGAATCTATTCAGTCCCTAATAAAAGCGGTTTCAAGATTGCTAAGGTAATTAGAGTAGGAGTATGCGGGTCACGGACCAGATACTCGAAGCAAATGGACAAATCACCAAGCATCTTTCAAGCCAAATTGCATGCAATCGAAAAATGGGTGCAGTTCAATCGGAGTGGAGGATATTGGAAACGACAGATTATAATAATGTCTGATAGCCAAGTAGCT